CATTGTCACGTACGCATCGAAGACGGAGCCGGCCTACTCGTTTGACCACTACGTCGTCGCCTCCGATGCGGAGTACCCCAACAAGGCGGCGCGGGTGAAGGCAGAGTTTTGGGTAAGTCTCCCTTGCACAACATTGCTCAATACGTCGCATTCATTAGACTTTTCTTGAAATAATGAATCGATACATCGCTTTTGTATGCAGACTTATTACAGATGCGAGGAGGGATTTGAGGCCAGGGCGGAGCAGGCGACTACCAAAGCCTGTAAAAAACTCGTCACCGACATGCATCACGAGGCGCGCATCCAGGCCATCGTAACCTACTACGGGTCGAAGCTTGGAGAGAGGAAAACCAAGAAAGACGCAAGAGAGATGCAGCTGACCGGGAGCAGTACCTTGAGGTAAATGAAGAACATCAACATTGATTCAATTTGAGATTAAGTTGGTTTAATTTGATCTTCTTATATGTCCAATACTTGATGACGTGTAGGTGATTCCCTGGTGGTGCCAAGCGTATCCCGAGTGTTGGGCGATGATGGTGGACAGGTGGTTCACGGAGGAGTACCTCAAGATGCACAGGGATGCCCGGGACCGTCGCCATCGATGCAAGGTCCAGCACACCATCAAGGCAACCGCAACCTCGCCGGATACAAACAAGCATGGGTGCGCGAATTGATTTATCTATTGTCACGCTTCGATTACTCGATTTCTAATCATCGTGGTTGTCTTTCTCGCGATCGGCGTCACATAGTGGCGAGCTTGCTCGACTTTCGAGCATGGTGTATGGCCCACAAGGGTAAGGCGACGTCCGACGTCTCCTTCAACTGGAGGACCCGCCCGAGGCATACACGAACCCGAAGGCCCACTCTCGCATCGGTGAGTACACCGAGGTGGCGAGGTCGCTCCATGGGGCGAACCACGATCCGAGCACCCGGGACTTGATGGAGAGGCCGTCATGAGGCGGGGCAAGGCAAGAAGCATGGACGGTTTCGGCTTGGCGGCGGCGTCATCGACGACACGGCCTCTACTCCCTCTCTCTCCCAGATCCCGAGCACGAGCACGAGCCGAGCCGGCCATTCAAGACTTCGGCCGACATTTGCTGACAAAGACCGGGTCGACGACTCGAGGTTATTCCTGTTTTACTCGTCATACATTGATCTTTACACACCTTAATTAGCTTTGCATTCTTGAAACATTGGAGTGAAATATTGCGCAGTCCGGCTAGAACAAGAAATGAAGGAACGTCAGAGGCTGGGGGCCCGGTTGAGGCCGAGCGGGCCGAGCGGCGTGCCGAAAGCAGCAGAGGTGATGGACATTACGGATTTCCTACAAGGGCTTGGGCAACGTATGGGCTTGTCTCCGCCACCTAGGCTGTTGGTTCCACCTCCGCCTCCCGCGCCCTGCACTGCTGCAGCTACTACTCCTGTGAGTATCAAAGTTTTTACTTTCACTTGTGCTTTGCTTGTATGGCCTCTATCGTCCTAGATTAGCTATCAAAATAATTTTGTCTCACATGCAATCTTTTCTCCTTTGTGCAGTCTCCATCCGGCGGTGGTTGAATAATCCACCTCATGCACCTCACTGAATGATGCTGGGCCTTCACCACGGTCGCGAAAGGGCGAGATGAGTGCATGTTGTATTTTTTACATTTGTTGTTCACTTGGTGATGGACTTGTGATGCACTTGTGGACTTTGATGAACTTGTAAACTTATTTGGATGGACTTGAGCACTTATTATTACATATTGTGATGGATGTGTTATGGGCGGATGGATGTGTGGATGGATGAGATGTATATGTGATGGATGAGATATATATGCGATGGATGAGATATATATGTGATGGATAAGATATATATGTGATATATGTTTGTATGAATGTATTTGTCATGATGGAACATAAAAAAAAAAAATTATTTGCCGTTTTGGGTCACTTTGCGAGTGTTGCACTCGGCAAAGGACCCCTTGTCGAAGCGCAATGGTCAAAACACTCGGCAAAAGTGGCAAAATGGGCGACGAAAACAGATTTTCCAGCTTTGCCGAGTGCTATGACTATAACACTCGGCAAAGAAATTTAAAAAAAAAATTCAACTTTGCCGAAAGTGCGAGGTGGTGGCACTCGGCAAAAAAATTTCAAAAAAATAAAAGCTCTTTGCCGAAAGTGTCTGCGGGTTGTTGACGCTTCGGCAAATAATTTAAAAAAAAAAAAATATTTGCCGAGTGCTCGGAGGCTTGGCACTCGGCAAAGAAAAATTTCAAAAAAATAAAAGCTCTTTGCCGAAAGTGTTCTGCGCGGGTTGGACTTTCGGCAAATAATTTTTAAAAAAATAAAAATCTTTGCCGAGTTCGAGGCTTGGCACTCGGCAAAGAAAATTTTCAAAAAAAAAAAAAGCTCTTTGCCGAGTGCCTTCCGGGTTGGCGCTCGGCAAAGAATTTTTTAAAAAAAAGGCTTTGCCGAGTGCATGGAGGTTTGGCACTCGGCAAAGAAAATTCTCAAAAAAAAAATAGAAGCTCTTTGCCGAGTGCCTCACGTGTTGGCACTCGGTAAAGAAAGTTTTAAAAAAAATTTAAAAAAATCTTTGCCGAGTGCCGGCAGGGTTGACACTCGGCAAAGTGACCGTCAACGGAACCGGCGCCGTGACGGTCGCTTTTCTTTGCCGAGTGTTTCCGGGGCACTCGGCAAAGCCTTTGCCGAGTGCCCGATAAAATACACTCGGCAAAGAGTGCTTTGCCGATCAATTTTTTGCCGTGTGTGCTTTGCCGAGTGCCACACTCGACAAAGGCTTTGCCGAGTGCAATATAGCCTTTGCCGAGTGCCTCAGGCACTCGGCAAAGAACCTGAATCCAGTAGTGTGCCCCGTGGTCTTTGTTGCCGCACCTACGATACCTGCGCCCGCACATGACACAGGCATGTACATAGCGCTATGGCATAAACCAACCAAACAACTTAATCTATCTATATAGTTAAGAGGTGGCAATGAATTTGGGTAATCCAAAATCCAATTGGACTCTGGTTGTGTTGGATGCACTTAGATGAGAGTATTTTGATTTTGGATGTCCATAATCATTTGATCCAACAAAAATCTAATATCCTAACATTCAAATTATAGCTCCAATAATGTCCATAATCATTTGTGAACCCTGATTAAAATCCTTTCAAGTTATAGCTCCAAATAATTGTACATACTAACTTTCGTACTACTTGTACTAAAATATGGAAATACTTTTGAAAGACATATGCTAATATTTTTACTTTGAAAAAGGTGATGGTAAGTAATCAGCTACTACGTCGTACTCTCTGTGTTCCAAATTATAAGCCTAGTACCCTGTCTATTATTTCCAAATTATAAGTTGTTTTATCTTTTCTAATACATACCAGAGAGTAATAACTATCATCCCTAAATATCTGTCGTCGGGGCTACAGTACATGTCCCGTAATAACTATTGTTCGCTATCGGCCCATAGCTATACCGCTACTGCACCATGCGCCTGCCTTATCCCTTCCTCTCCCCTCACGGCCTCACACCACCACACACACCCAACTTTTTCTAAAAAGGAAAAAATCCCAGCCTCATCCCCAACCTCGTCGGCTGTTCCTTTGGCCCCATCCGCAACCTCGTGTCATGCCCACCCTCCGTCGACTCCCCTCCGCCGAGATCCTCTTGTGCCACCCTCCGTCGACTTGTTCATCATTCTTAGAAGGATGGACACCAAAGTGGTCAGCTTCCCCAACTTGAACTACAGCCACTACATCTTCCAAGGGATCACGATCCTCTCCGTGTTCATGTTCACCAGCAGGATTCTTGTTGAGATCTGGCACCTCCTCTCCTCTCTCTTCTGGTAGTGTGTTTAAGTCTATTGCCATGGGAGTTGGATGAGAAGTGAATGGTTCAAATGAATGCAAAGAAAGGGTTACCGAGCTTTTTATTGCCAGTGGTGCTAGAGAAATGGCGCTAGTTTCAAATTATAGTTTGCTTCGTCTGTGTAAAAATGGCGCCAGGCTTTGTTTTGGCGCTAAGTAGTGTTTGCCACTGAGTGAAATGCATGTATTAGTGTCCTCTTTGATTTGTTTAAGGCAAAAACACTATACACTGCATGGGCAACTGTGAAAAAGTGGATGTGAGTAATGATTTGTTTAATGTAAAAAATCTGTGGTGTGTGTGGCACGCGCTCGTTTTCACAGCAAAAGACAACATTAACGACATATCCATCCAAAAATCCAAAAGGTAAATCATTGCTATGCAGAGGTGTTCAGGTCTTTTGCCATTTATATTGATTCCTAATTCTCCGATGACAGTTAATTGGGGACGAAAAGAACGATTTTATAATTGAAGCGGAGAGAGTAATATATTGTTATTTTTACATGACGTCCTTAGGTCTCACTCTCATGGAACCCTGTTTGTTTGTTTATCCATTGATTGATTTGGCCAATCTGTGCCCATGCAAGGAAAGCACTCCAGCAGGTCCTAGTAGTGACTAGTGAGTAAAGTAAAGGAAAAACAAAATCTTATCAGGTGCTCTACGGGAGAGCGGAAGACCGGAGGAACCACATGGTTACACTGCATCTATCTTTTTCTTCGTTTGCTGCACCAGGAAACGCCCGGGCTTAATATTAGGGTATGAATTTTCCCTGTGTCGATCGATAGACTCGAGCACCATTGGCGTTTCCGTGCATCATTTTCCTGCCCATCTTTTTTTTTACTGAAATCCAGCAGGAAGGATCCAGTTTTCTTCAGACTGGCTATTCTCCGGTTCTTGAGAAGTTCAGACGATCGTCATCCCCATCTTCTGTCCATGCCAGGTGCGTCACGGTGTACGTCTGTGCACTGTGCTCTGTGGGTTTGCGTACAATTACAAACGGAGCAATTGGCTCAGGTACGGTTTCAGGTAGCAGCCGCCATTCAGTGATATACCTACCGCTGTATATAAGCCATAGCCGGCACGGCGAGGCCTCGCAGTCGCAGGCGCACACCAGTCGAGTCCAGCAAGGAAACTAAGAGCGCCATGGACTCGCAGTCTCGCTCCCATGAGCTGCTGCTGGTAGTCCCACTCCTCTTTCTCCCTCTCCTCTACCTGCTGTCGTCCCGGCGGCGGAGGAGGAGCAGAGAGCCAGGAGCAGCAGCAGAACGACGGCGTGCTCCCCCGGGTCCGCCGAAGCAGCTGCCGGTGCTGGGCAACCTGCTCCAGATCGGCAGCCGGCCGCACCGCTACTTCCAGGCGGTGGCGCGGAGGTACGGCCCCGTCGCGGAGGTGCAGCTCGGCCGCTTGCGCACAGTCATCGTCTCGTCTTCGGACGCCGCCAAGGAGGTCCTCCGGACCAACGACCTGCACTGCTGCAGTCGCCCCAACTCACCAGGCAAGTACGAGCTCAGAACCACTTATCACTAGCCTAGGTGGAATAGGTTAGGATTTCACTTCCTCTGCACTGTAGGCTCACCCATAGCTTCACTGTATAAGCCGTTCTTTTGGCCCTTTTTTTCATAATGAAATACGCGTGAAGTCATGTTCTCTATAAAAAAAAAATCGGTTATGATTTGGTTCCGCACGAAAATTGAAAAAGTAAATTGGGTGAGGAGCAACAATGAACACCCACAATAGATTTGCAACACATGTCCATTTGCATGTATCAACACATGAGAGAAATATAGTTTTTTTTCTAATTAATTACTCCTAAATTTAAGCAACAGTTTCATAAGTTGAATGGACATGTGTCATAGATTCACACTAGATGGTCATGATTACGCCCTGTTCGTTTGGGTTTGTTTGGCTTATAATCCGTACTTTTTCAGTCAATAAATAGTATTTTTCTCTCACCCTAAATTAGCCAACAGTACTTTCAGTCATGATTTATCAGTCAAACAAGGCCCAACAAACAGGGTGTACACCCAGAGGACCGCCCCTCATTCAATTTTTTTTAGCAAAATTGGCCACCACCAGGGGGCCATTATGCACGTAGACATGCATGCATGGGAAGAGTCCAATATTGGTTCCTGGTGGGATCAAAAGGGCACATGCACATGTCTGCGGCCACGCTGTTTTTGGCAAAGCAAAATACATGTGTGGGAGATCGTGGGACCACGCAATGGAAAAAAAAGAGTATACTCAATAGAGAAACTATTGTACATGTTTGGAGTGTACTCGATAGAGAAGTGTACCTATTTGATATAGGTGCTTGTCTTATAATCCATATTTTTCAGCTTATTTTTTAGCCAGAACAATATTTTTCTCTCACAACAAATATGCCGAAATAGTGTTTCGGCTTGTTTTTTCAACGAAGCGAACGAGGCCATAAAATCTTGCTAGCTAAAAATTAGCTAAAATTAGCTCTAATGCATCCAAATATTAGAGCTAATATATAGGTGTGTCAAGTCTTCAACTATTTGTTAGATCACTAGCTTACCAACCATAACTAATTTGAGCTAAATTTTAGCTCTAGCTAATAACTAGCCACGTGTATCAAACAGACCCATTCAAGATTTAGATAGAATGGGATAATCATATTATAATTTTTAATAATCGGATTACCCATCTCGTATTTTTAATAACCGGTGGTGAGTGGGGAAAAGGCAGTTGGATGAGCCAAGTGTGGGGAGCTTAACAGAAGATGAAAAAGACATCGGGGACGAGTAACATCTGATTCATTTTTAAACCTAAGCCATGGTGGACAGCGATAGATCCAGCAGCGGGGAGCCACTAGAGCCCGCTGGGGACGTGAAGGCGGTAGGAGAGCCATCGGAGCTAACTATTCATATTTGATCAAGTTTGTAATGAAATAGTATATGTTTGTGGCTTCAAATTAATTTATTATAAAAATACATTTTGTAATTAATCTAATGTTATTATTTGCAATCATAAATATTGATACAATATTTTTTTATCTATAGTTGATCAAACTTATAAGATACTAAAATATGACATTGTATTAGGATTGCATTCGTTCTGACATGGACAGAGTAAGGGCCTATTAGAATTAGCACTAAAAATTAGCAGCTAAAATTAGTACTAGTGGATCCAAACGGATCTATTAATAAACCTGCTAATTATTAGTCGCTGCTAACTTTTATTTCATTAGCAAGTTTGGAGTCGTTAATAGATACTAATAGTTCATATACACTTTCAACTCACACCCCAACCATCTATTAGCAGTGGATCCAAATAGTCTCCGGCTAAAGGTGAGATAGATAAGCTATTAGTTAACTAATTTTTAGTGCTAGTGGATCAAACATGCTCTAATTTAGACTATATATGTACTAACTCCATTACGAGTAACGTATAATCCAAATCATCATCACTGGCTGCATATTGTCCGATGTTCATCAGGTCCCAGGATGCTGAGCTACGACTTCCTGGACGTGGCCTTCAGCCCCTACAGCGACTACTGGCGCGAGATGCGGAAGCTCTTCATCCTGGAGCTCCTCAGCATGCGGCGCGTCCAGTCCTTCGCCTACGCCCGGGCCGCCGAGGTGGACCGCCTCGTCGCCTCCCTCGCCAGCTCCTCCCCTCCGGGCGCCGCCGTCGACCTCAGCGAGAAGCTGTACGCGCTCTCCGACGGCGTCGTCGGCACGGTGGCGTTCGGCAAGATGTACGGGTCGGAGCAGTTCGAGAGGAGCAGCTTCCAGCGCGTGATGGACGAGACGCTGCGGGTGCTGGGGAGCTTCACGTTCGAGGACTTCTTCCCGGCGTCCAGGCTCGCCCGGCTCGCCGACGTCCTCACCGGAGCCGCCGCCCGGAGGCGGCGCATCTTCCTCCAGATCGATCGTTTCTTCGACTCCGTCATCGATAAGCACCTCGAGCCCGAGAGGCTGCAGGCCGGCGTGCAGGAGGACATGGTCGACGCGCTCGTCAAGATGTGGAGGGAGGAGCAGGCAGATTGTGAGGCAAAAAATGGATTAACGCGTGATCATATCAAGGGAATCCTCATGGTACTTTCATTATACTATCATTATCATTTAATGATCATTATGCATGTTATGCAGTAGTATATATAGTACTATTACAGAAACATTGACTACACATAGTTTCGTGTAAACCTCAGGACACATTTTCAGGTGGCATCGACACCAGTGCTGTCACGATGATCTGGATCATGGCCGAGCTGATGAGGAACCCTAGGGTCATGCGGAAAGCGCAAGCCGAGGTGCGCGGTTTGGTGGGGAACAAACCAAGAGTGGACGAAGAAGATGTTAAGAACCTCAGCTACCTCAAGATGGTGGTGAAAGAGAACTTCAGGATACACCCACCGGGGACGTTGTTGATTCCAAGGGAAACCATGACGAGCTGCGTCATCGGCGGCTACGACGTGCTGCCGGGCACAAGGATTTTCGTGAATGTTTGGGCAATGGGAAGAGATCCTAGCATCTGGGATCGCCCGGAGGAGTTCAATCCCGAGAGGTTCGAGGGAAGCCAGGTTGACTTTAGAGGCTCCAACCTTGAGCTTCTCTCTGTTGGCCCACAGTTAGCCTCCCGACCATCGAGATGATCTCCAGACCACTACAGATAGCCTCCAGACCACTAACCACAGCCTCCAGACCACTACCTGATAGCCTCCAGACTACCGAGATAGCCTCCAGACCACTCCGTTGGTCTCACAGGATCACCGGCTCACGACAGTGAACCACTCCAGCCGATCTTGCCGAACACCGGCTCAGGCGAGTGGAGCACTTGTCGGTCTCGCCGAGCACGCGCTAGTGTTGCCGAGCACCCACTAGCCGTGCAGACCACGTACCGGCGTTGTCCGTACCCACACACTACGGATCGAGCTAGAAGAGGAAGGGAGAACAGAGCAAGCACGCACAATACAAGGCAACAGCGTTGGCCGAAGCCCTGTCTGTGTGATGGCAAATCTGAGCTCTCTTTACTGAGTTGCCATACATGTCTATTTATACAACTCTAACTATCTAGTCCATGTGCAGCGCCCATGCTGGCACAGTAACTAGATAACCTGACAGGGCTGACTCTGCGCCGGCCACTGCCTGTTCCTACAGTGCTGCAGGTGAGCCGTGCGGCGCCTGCACCTGCAGCGGCTACTGTATCACAGCAGGGGGCAAAGTCGGCGCCGCCTTCCTCTGCTGTGTTCTCACAAGGTGGCAGTAGATTAGCTAACACTCCCGTTCGGTTCAGGACGAAGGTCATGCCCTGCCATCGCCATGGGCGTCGCTAATGTGGAGTTTGCCCTGGCCAACCTGTTACATTGCTTTGATTGGCAACTACCTGAAGGGATGAAGGAGGAGGACATCGATATGGAAGAAACTGGGCAGCTTGCTTTCAGGAAGATGGTGCCTCTTTGTCTTGTGCCTATTAAGAGAGTATAACTGCATTGGAGGATGACAGACTACGCACATTATTCTCTTAATATATTCAGTTCCAATAAACTACTTTAAATATTTTGTTTTGAGAATGTTACAATCCTGCACTTTTTCTTTCTTCCATAGCGTAAACGCGCACAATAAATTAAATGCGTGCTCTTCAAAGGAATTCAGAAGTGGGGTACTATAAGTTAGCATTGCAAGCAATTTGGATGTATCATATTTGGAATATGGAGTATGAAGTGTGATTGCAGGTCCTTATTTCAACATTAATGCATTATTTTGGCTAATATATGGTACAAAAGGGTTCTTAGCATATAGTAAGCATTTTTTTTTTGTACTAGTGCTATTTTCTGTACTAAGCCCGCCTCCATTAAGTTTTCGGTACTAGTGCTATTTTTTTTTTTTTTTGCAATGCTCTATAACTTGAAGGGGGATCTCAAAAGTGAAAAAACCAAGCCCTAAAAGAGCCTGAACTCCTCTTCAATGTCATTGCTTGTCTTGTTTTTTAGTGGGACAAAGCTACTTATTGAAGAGAGTAAGTTGAGAGAATTTGGAGCCTCCCTAACTTTATTGGCTCTCGCCTCATGTATCTTTCATCTTCATAGTAGATTGCTTACGGATCATCATCGCCTATAGTTTTTTCTCACAAGGGCTCTCCGATCCATGTAAATTTTGGTGTCTACCCATGATTTGGTTGCCGAGTAAATGTACCTTAGCTGAGGAACCATGTTAGTGTTTGCCGAGTGTTTTTATATTTGCCCAGTGTATTCTCTCGGGCACTCGGCAAACAAGTTCTTTGCCGAGTGCTGCGCTAAAAACACTCGGCAAAAAAAAACACTCGGCAAAGAGGAGGTTTGCCGAGTGTCAAAAAAAACACTTGGCAAAGATGGGGTTTGCCGAGTGTTTTTTTTGACACTGCAAAGAAGTAAAATCTTTTTTTCTAGGAAAGAAGGAGAAGAAAAAATAAAAAAAAACTTTGCCGAGTGGCCAGATCCAGGACACTCGGCAAAGAAATAAAATCTTTTTTCGGAAAAGAAGGAGAAGAAAAAAATGATTTTTTTTTGCCGAGTGTCTAGATCT